AAAAAAAAAAAGAAAAAGGAAAAAATAGGGGGAGTAAGGTTGAACAGTCAAAAAGAGTAGGCAGGGAACAATTAACAATGACAGCAGCCTACTTTCTCCCTTTTTCTCCAAAACCAAAAAAAGAAAAATGAAGGAAAGAAAGGCCTCAACTACGATATCGACCCGTGACAGAACATTTCCATCGCGGGCCGGGGGGCAAATGATGGAGATCGACTACACGATATCAATGGGTCTTGCACGAAGTAAGTGGGCTGAACTTGACTACCTAAATGAACCCGATCGTCGACAATACTTAGGGTCACCCCGACATCCGATGGGCCGAAAATGTAAGTATGCATGTCCAAGTAGGCAAGGCTTGACTTCGACATCGACCTCTGACCAACCTGACGGTTATGACAAGTCGACGTTGGTTCTTCCCCTTGTACCCTTAGGAGCACACTTGACATTATTCACCATAATTATCACCACCTGTCAAGAACATCAAGTACCCTCAACCTCAACGTCGGGGTACGCCCAACCATGGGTATGAATACTTGTCTTCACACCTCGACGTCGCTCACCAACTCTTGGGAAGTCGTATGTCGGCCACCTCAATGATGTAAAGGTACACTCGCATTCTATAAATACGGACATCCCCTCGTGACAAAGGGGATGATAGGAGTATAACCCAACTCTCACTCTAAAACTCTTTTTTCTCTCTCCTTCTTTCTACATCGGAGATTCAATTTCCGGCGATTTAACTTGACTGTTGGAGAGGGATAAGGGGTAAACTCTTCGATTTTCCTTGTTTGCAGGTGCACATTGGAGCTCAACACCTCAACCGTCGATCGTACGTCACGCCGCGCCGCCGTTTGAGTTTCTTATCCGACCCCGACGTTCGCTTCCTACACCATCGGAAACAAGTCTTATTGGGCCGGATCGTGCTCGAGGTTCTTTGACCTCATCAATTAATTTCAAATTTTCAATTCAGTAAATGTAATTTTAATTGCATACACTTTAATAGTATTATTTTAAATTTAAGCATTTGAAATTATCATAAACATTTAAAAAGATTAGTATTTAATTAATAATAAGCGCCCTAAAATGCTCACAACTCAGGCAAATACCCACAAGAAAAATACAATGTGCATATTCCATTCAGACATACCAAAATTTCTCCCCATTGAATAATCCAACAACTGTTCAGTTTCAGACAATCACTTGCAAATTGCAATAATTATAGATGCTCAAACCATTTGTAGTGCAATGCATGCATTGTCGAGCGCCTTATGGTTGTTCTTGGATACATTTGGGACATTTGCATCTGAAGCCATAATCTGCAAGTTGTGCCTGCCTCTCCTCGTAGGAAAGATCCTCATCTATGTATGATATAGTTATCTGCAAATACATAGTGTTGTAATGAAACATTTACATTTGTCTCTAATTGCAGGTCACAAATACATGGAGAAGGAATCAATACCTCTTCTCCTTTTAGAATGGGCCGCAGGGCAATTATAGTAGCTTGGCCATCTCGGTCCTGATCAAACAAAATCAACTCTTTTCATGAACGATTCACTTTCAAATCACCGTACTTCAACAAATGGAAGTATTTCATAAATCTCATTTCTATAGATGGATTTGATCACATGAATGCCAAATACATTTGACCAAATCCATTGTAGATGTAGTCGACTGGAAGAGGAAAAATTTCAAATCATTTCCTCCCATTATGGTATTGGTATTAACATGATACATTTGGAATCCATCCAATTTTGAAAGGATTCCAAATCCATCCTTCAAATACCTTCCCTTAATCCAAATCCTTCCATCCAGACGAGTCCTAAAAGTATTTTATCTGGAAAAGTTTTAAAATGTTTTGAAGCATACCTCTTCTCGCTTGAATGCTTTTGCATTAGGATAACAAGAATGGTTCATGCAACTTTGTATTGGGAAAAAGGCCGTACCTGAAGTAGGTTGGTAAACACAGGTTTACATAAGACTGAGTTTTTTACAAAAGTACACGGTGCACAATAAGCACTGCATCTCATTAAAATTTAATACCCCACGTCTGGGTATTTGTTTCAAGAAAAATGTGTCAAACTTTAAAGTGAAGTCATAGGAAATACCTTGGCATGAAATGGAATAGTCCTCCCCAAGAGCATCAAGGAATGGCTTTGTGACCTTTTCAGCTTCTTTCTGCAATGAATCTCAATGATTGAACATATAATAATTTTCCATGTTGTAGTTGCTGAAAAAAGGTATGAATATATTGTCAACCTTTTGGGAGCGTGGAAGATCATCAATGTACAAAAAGTAATCCTCCACGGGTGATGCCACGACCAAATCACTAGTACATGGAAGAGGGATGTATCAGTATTAATCTCTGTTGTGGCATCATCAATACTTATGAACAACTTACAGGTTATTCAGTTCAAACATCCCAATGATATGACCGTAGATGTCGAGAGAAAATACTAGTATATGTTAAGGACTTGTAATTTTGGGCAGCTAGGAAGCATCAATATAGTTTTTTGAAGAATATGAAGGATACATGGAGCACATTCTTTATCATAAATGGCTTCTTTCAGGAGCTGAAGTGACTGAAATAATATAAAAACAATCATCAAAATTTACCATGCAGAATGTCCGACTCGTACATTTCAGTTTGTTATTATAATACAAGATACAAGATACTTATGTATGATCAACTGAGCTCATACAGGCCATGAACAACTGGCAAATCACATATACCCAATACTATAAATTTCACTAGATTTTCCTATGAGATCATTTTTCTAAAGTTCAATGGAGGGAGTTACCTCAAATGCCAAGTCTTTTATTTGCATTCTGAAATCAACTTCATCACAAGAATCTACATCCTCTGGCAGATCAATGCAGTCCCACCACCTACACGAAAAGAAATAGAGGCTGATTTTATCCAGACCAAATTCGGTATGCATGCAAAACATTCACTGCTAACAACTCTGCATAGAGTGTGGCTAGATGGTCACAAATAGACAATTGAAAATTCAAAGCTGTAGTTACCCTTGATTAATTTGATTATGTGAATAGACACTCTCAATGAATGTGATGATTTACATGATGGGGAAGGGGGAAAAAAATTGAAGCAACACTGAGGAATAAAAAACTACTGCAGACAATGTGTAGTTGAGATGAACTAATGGATTTTCTGTGTAGTTTGAATTTAATAGCCCACGACTAATTAAATTGTTTTAAGTTCATTTGAGATAATGATTTTAAATACGGCAAGGAACAAGGATGTCATACATGAGGAAAAGAAAACTAGATAAGTCTTCAAGAGATCTAGATGATTTAAGCACCTGTCTTTGAATCCCATAGAGACTGGCTTCCATGCCTCCAACAACAAAGGGAAGTTTAAACTGTTGTACCCATTAGAAGAATCACGCTTCCCCTGCTGTTCAAGTTGAGTGGCTTTTAATTTTCTGTATCTTAGAATGATAAATGAGATCACCTGCATTGGAAGTAAAAGATATAAATGACAGAAAAGAGTTATCCTGAGTAATAGTTATTCCCTGGGTTTCTATTAGAATATTCAGCAATTTGGTTTAGCACTTCATTCATAGTATTTACACCCTTACACAATCTTCAATCTTGCTCATATAGTATTAGATTGAACTTTTCAAATAAATAAGAAGAAAAAGAAAGGGAAGAAAAATACAGAACATCAGGGAATTACCTTAGAAGCAAGGATGAAAATATCATTTGTTTCTGGAAAACATTAATCTACCCATCAAAATAACATTAATGGTAATAGCAAGTAAGGTGTTTGAAAAAATAAAAAAACTTAAAATACAGTAATAAAATTTTATTTTACCATTAGCATGCTTTGTGAATTTCACAAGTGCTTCTGTATTTGATGATGATGATGATCCTCGTCCAATGCAAAGTAAAGAATGGAATGACTCCCAGTCAGCTTCCGCACAAGATTTGCTACAAATGTTTAATAACATTATGAAAATGAAATCGACATAAAAACAAAAAGAATGCATACCATAGGAATCACATATTGCCAGTTTGGTTGGGTTTTAGTTCAAGCATTTCATTGTAATTATGGAAAATTAACAATAAGCCACGTAACTCCAAATTTAATGAATTAGACTCATCTTTGTGTCATCAAGTTCCATCAACACCAGCATTATTTGAAATGCAATTGAAATGAGAGATTTTGTTAGCTAAAGGGTGCATCTTTCTGCAATATTTTTCAACCAAAGAAAACTATCTGCCCAACAGGTTGGGGCATTGGCAATATATTAGGCAACTGATTAAGACAATTGTTAGTGCAAATGTATGGGTCACTAGTCACAATTTTGACTCCCGTGAGATGCTGCATCCCCAAATAAGGGTTAGACTCTATAGGCAAATCTCAGGCAGAATCCAAATGATTTTTAACAGTACCTACATAGTCGATAGCTTGACCCACAAAACAAATAATATAGAGCGTCTACCTGCAATAATAAGCCTCTTTGCATGCTCCTGGACAAGGAACAACAACAGGCAGAGGAAAATTCTCTGAATAGGGCAACTTCAAGCCACCGTTCATTAAGGATTCTACAGTATCTTGGGGGAGACTGATTTTTTCAGAGGAACCACTACATCCTGCTCCGTCAGATGGCCCACATTCATCAACTGCAGAAATGCCTAGTTCTTGCAAATACAATTTCCTCCCAATTTGAAGCTCTATTGAGCCGATGAATCGAAAGCAGTAGCTACACACCATACAATCAATCTGACACATTTGGAGAAACAAATTAACTAAAAAAGCAACAACTTCCAATAATAGCTCCAACGAAATTTATCCACAAAATCACATTACCTTATTAGAATAATGCTGTGCACCGGCAAGCATTTGATCCTTCAAAACAAGGTCATTTTCTTCAAAATCCACAGCACTGTATACTCCTGCAATCGGTGTCCTCAATACATGTCAAGAATCTCACAAAAGGCAAATGCTTTCAGCACTTCCCACCATTAAACTATCGCTCACATAACTTCTAAGCCGTTTACTTTCAAAACATTTTCCTAACTCTAATTAACAATAAAATATAAATGAACCAGTAAAAAGGGAAAAAAAAATCAAGTGTACAGCTTGCAATGACATATTGATTGATAGAATTAGATTTAACCTTATGCGATTGAATCGCTTAATCCCAGGAGCATTCATATTGAACAATCGAGAATCAAACCAAAGAGCAGAAGCGTACCTGATGTATTCATGTTGATTGATTGCTTTAGAACTCAAGATTGGATTGGGATTTGGAGTTCTTCCAAAAGCCGTGAACCGTAGCCTCTCCTCTTCTGACGTAATGAAGAAAAAAAAAAAACTGATGGAGAGAGTGGGGTAACCCTGATGTATTTTATTCTTCTATCACTTTATGAAGAATTACAAAAGACCCCTTTTATTTTTCACGGTTTTGGGGACTCCACCCATTATTAATTTTGACCCAAATTATTTATTAATTAGGTCCTTAAGTATAATATTATTATTTGTTACGTCACCAAATAATAATATTACCGGGTGTCCACATTTAAATATTCCACAGTCCAAATTAAGTCCCTTAGCCAATGTACAATAATGTGATCACTTAATTAGGCTAAACAATATAATGACCCAATGTATCAATTACACATATTTAATCCCAAATAGATCTAACATTGATAACAGCGGGGAAAAGAACCAACTATGTATGTGAAAATACCTTTTCCATGCTCTCCTTCTGGCTTTACTTTAAGCCCAGAGCACTTCCTTTCGGCAAGAAGAGTCTCGAAGTATTCCTGTAGAAATGAAATTCAATTTGAGCGCTCTGCACTTCAAAATCGAACCGGAAAGAAGGTCGCTCAAGTAGCATGAAACTGATGTTATTGTACCTGGATTTGAGCATGAGATGGAGGGCAGAGAAGGGCGGCAACTTCGTCGGAAAATTCGGTCTCCATTGCTAAACCCTGAAGGTCTCCCGCAGGTTTCTGCAGCCTGCGTGGAGAAGCGGGGGTTTGCGCTCCAACCTCTAGGGGCTTAATCAATTTGGGCTTTTTAATTTGGACTTATATGGGCTGATTTAGGCTGCATATACGGGCCGAAATTAGGTAATGGATTTGGACTTATGTGCTGATTTGGGCTGCATAGATAGGGCTTATACTTGTCTCTGGGGCTTAATTGATTTGGGCTTTTGAATTTGGTCATATTTGGGCCGATTAGGCTGCTTATATGGGCAGAAGCTAGGACCTGGGCTCTGGGGTCGATTTGGGCATTGGATTTGAACTTGTGCTGATTTGGGCTGCATATATAGGGCTCATGCTGGGCTGTGGGGCTAAATTGATTTGGGCTTTTGGATTTTAAATGATATGGGCTGAATTGGTCTGCATAAATGCGGCTTGTATGGGCAGAGGCGAAGGTCTGTGCTCTAGGCCTAATCAATTTGGCCCTTTCGATTTGGACTGGTTTGGTCGGCTCATGTAGGGCTTATATGGGCTTATTTGGGCTCTGGGGCTTAATCGATTTGGACTTTAGATTTAGACCTATATGGGCTGAAGCAAGGGTCTGGGCCCTGGGCCTAATCGACTTGGGTATTTCGATTTAGATTTATATGGGCCAAAGAAGGGTATATGCCTGGGCCTTATCAATTTGGACTTTTATATTTGGACATATATGTGCTGAAGCAAGATCAGCGCCGTGGGCAAAATCATTTTGGGTTTCTGGAACTGGACTACGTGTACAAATTTGGGCTGATCACATAGGGCTTCTACGGGCCGAAACAAAGGTCTGCGTTCTGGGGCGTAATTGACTCGGGCTTTTGAATTGGACTTGTGTAAACTGATTTGGGCTACTTATGGAGGGCTTTATGGGCAGAGAAGAGGGTCTGGGTACTGAACTAGTTGGGCTTTTGAATTTGAACAGATTTGGGCTGTTTTGCAGCCTGTGCAAACTGTGAAGTGTGAACCAAGTGCTGGTGGTTGTTGTACATCTTATAAAACTACATTACTTTCTTTGCCCAACTATTACAAAGCAAGAGCACAAAAGGGAAAGTAACTATGAGTTCAGCTGCAAACTGAGGTTCTAGATTTGCAAATGTCGACAAACCTGCAAGAGATCGATCAACAAACACAGCCCAAAATTGTCCAATACACGGCACTGGAACAGGATCAGTCCTCAGGCAGAACGAAAGAACTGTTCTAAGGATGACGCAGAGTAGACATTCGGAGCAGGCTGTTTAAGGTTGCTGGGAGAGACCAAAAGCTGAGACTTGATGAATCTCTGCATCAGAACCCATGTAAAAAACAACCCAAGCTTGTCAGTGAATAATCACAAGGATACGACGAGGAAGAACACTGGAAAATAGATGAAACAATGTTAAAAGGGCTAGCATTCATATGAATAATTGGGGATTCATACAGATAACTGGGTGACGATTTCTAGGTCAGAGTCGATATGCCAGTCGGGTTCCAACTGCCTGACAAAAGAAGCCCGCCCATTCTCCGTGCTACAAAATAGCACCTGAGAGAGTTCATGCCAACAGAGATGATTGCACATTCATGAAAATTTTACATGAGCAGAACCATAATGTAATGAAAGACAAATACAGCTATTGCAAGAAGCATTTAATGTTATGGAGTACTTTATCTTTGACCAAGCCACCAGATGCGAAGGCCCCAGCGTCTTCCAAAGCTGCAAGAACTTTTTTCTGCATGGATATGATTGATCAGTATATTTGAGTTTCAACAAAAGCTTAGGTGCATGGGTAAGAGAAAGTTCAGGTAATTTTAATGTTTGAAATCAGATAATAGCTATAGATTCAACAATGGATGGTAATAAAAGTGATTCCAAATATACAAGAAGAGGTGCTTTACTTCGCTCTCGTCATCCAGCACTCTTTCCATGAGATAAAGATCGTTAAACCTTGTGATTTCAAGCAGCACATCGAGAACTGAAGATCTAACCGTGGCTTGCTTCTGCAGTTCTTCAGGACTGGTTTCTTCTAGGATTACTCCAAGTAAACTACATGTTACCTGCCCCATTTTTAAATAGCAGCAGAAGAAAAAACATTCAGATATATTATAATCAATAAATTTCCAAGCCCACAAACATGTTGGATTTCAACTTCTATTTATGTTAGATGATAATTTAAAAAAGGTTACCTTCCTTCCTTGACTCAATCTTTGCCTTACTGTTTGGCTGACTGATGCCTGTCATAAAAATAACAATAAAATAGACATTTAAATAACAAAAAGGAAAAAAAAAGTTTTTTTAGAAGAAAGCCAAAAGAAAGGAAATATACATTAACAGGCTGAAATGTCTCGTCAACCACATTCTGGGTTCTGGAATCTCCAGGGGGATTGGAAACACCAAATGTTGTCGGATGCTCACGCTCACCAGAGTTACTAGTTGATGGAGCCTGCCTTTTAGGTAGCCTTCTTGGAGTCCCTCTAGATGGCCTTAAGAACTTCCATGTAAAAATGACAGCAAATGCTAACCCAGCTATGGCTCCAAATGAGCGTGAATCCTGCAGTTCATGCAAAGAAGAGAAAAGCTAGTGTATCAATACTTGCAAGTCTTCTTCTACTTATAGTTTAGATGATCTGCTAGAAGCTAATATGCAGACGTAAAACATGCATCAAACCAAAGGTTAATTTGAAGAACTCAAGGGAGCATTCTAGATATGATTATGATATGAATGTTATGAAATGATGGTTCTAAAGCAACTTTCTTCTAGGGGCCACAACTAAATTGTTCACATTCACAGAAACAGGCATTGCTTATAACAATTTAAAAACAAAGCACTTCCCATTTGACAGGTTAAACAGGAAAGCATAATTTTCAGTGGAATGTGGGAAGCACCTCTAGATTTTTGGGCAATATAATCCCCATATAGCAATGCATTTCCCTAAATATTCATAAGTGCATCTCCTCAATATCGACCATAGATTACTTCTATTTATTCTTAATAATTAACGCTCAAAAGGCAATCACCTTCTTCCAAACACACATAAGCAAGAACTTCATTCTCATGAACAGTTCAACTACTACTTCCACTTATAGTCAGGGCTAAAGGAGGGAAAAAAAAAAACTACAAGCATTAGCAATTGTGCTTCGGTAAGAAGTAAATTTAACAGCAAACCCACTAGGGTTACAAAAAGAAGCCAGATCAGGAGCAGTCCTGCAGTCACACATCAGTGTGAATAAAGCTGAAATCTCAACTCAGCCCACAGTTTATTTTCCTGCTGACAGAGCTGGATGGTTGTACAAACATTCTCTGTATTGGTTTTACAAGGCTTATAACGTTGTTAGATGCATGGATTTTGTAAATCAACCTAAGGGCTGCACATGATTTAGAACATTATCAAGAGGACAAATGTTTATGCTCTGCATAAATCTCAGCTCCAGAATCTCTTTAACTTTGTTCTTGATTTTAAGAATGCACCATATGAAACAGCTAAAGGGTTACACTTTTCAACCCTACATTCAAACATCTAACAATGATGGACACTATAACCCAATCATTCCACCAAATGAAAACACTTCTTTAATGCTCTTGAGAAAGATATCAATTTTGCACAAGTTAGAAAACCATTAAATTCAGAACAGCCATTTGCCATCTTCTTCCTGACTTAATTGCCAGCAGATATCAATTAAAACTTATTCTTGTTCTATGGTCCACTGGTGTAGAACCTCGAAGCATGCACTATTCTTTCCCTCAGTACCATTCTATTTACAATGAACAAAAGCTTCACAGAGAAACCCACAGTTCTACAACAAAGGCTCAAAACAATATAAACTGAAATCAAGCAATTCAAAACCAAAATCACAAATTTCAGAGAAACCCATCTCCAAAATCCAAACAATTACAAATATAAAGCATAAAGTCTAAAGATTGCAGAAGGAAATGATACACACGCAAACATATACACACATAGAAACTCTTAAAGAGAAACAGAAGGATAGAAACAACACCAGTGAGCGAAGGAGGGTGGAAATCTTGAGGGAGACAAAAGCACCGACTCGCTTGACCAACTGCAGAAAATCTTCCTTGGAATTATCAGCCATGGGAGGAAAATTCACTCAAAATAAAGTGCAGCGCCAAATGAATGGGGAAAGACGAAAGGGGGTTTCTGAAATTTGAAGGAATTGAAAAGGATTATAGCACGAGGAGGGCAGCAGACCCAGATCGGCGAGGGGGAAAGGAATTGGAAGGCAAAAAGCAAAAGTTCAGGATTGAATTTTCTTTAGGTCTCTGCACGCTGCACAGTGCCCGCGACTGTTCTTGGTTCTATTACCGAAAAAGGACCGACCTTCCTATTAGTAATAATTTTCTTTTGGATAACTTTGCAATTAATTAATTTTTTCCGATAAACATAATTAATTAACTGAATTTTCCTAATAATTTTCTTTTGGATTACTTAGTTTTTCCACAATACTACGTTTTTGATAAATTATAAA